CTCTCTCTCTCTCTCTCTCTCTCTCTCTCTCTCTCGTCTCTCTCTCTCTCTCTCTCTCTCTCTCTCTCTCTCTCTCTCTCTCTCTCTCTCTCTCTCTCTCTCTCTCGCTCTCTCGCTCTCTCTCTGTCTCTCACCCTCTCCATCTCCATCTCCCCCTCTCTATCCCTCTTTCTTTTCTTTTTCTTTCTTTCTTCTTTCTTTTCACTCTCTCTCTCTCTCTCTCTCTCTTCCTCCCTTCCTCTCTCTCGCTCGTCCTTCCACTCTCTCCCTCTTTCTCTGTAATTTTTTCTCGGGTTGTCAGCTGAAGTAGTCGCTTTTTGCGCATTCGTCGGGACATGCATATATGTTGTGCGCTCGTTGTTTTCGCTACACTTATAATTGCTTACATCATGATTCTTCTTAATACGCTCTTGATGATATCCAAATCAAATTTAGTCTTTTTGTTACATCTCGTGATTACTGAGTGAAAGGCGTAATGCGCGTGCTCGTACACGGCCGGTGTGTCTACGAGAGGATATGATTGCTTCACATGATCAGCATTATTTCTAGTCAGATTCAAGGTTTTTCGTGCGAGATATGAATATGCAATTTAATATCAGCGAGGAATATCTTTAAACAACAATATGAGTATTTCCAGTATGTGGCGTCGATAATGCAATTTCACTAATAGTGAAAAACTATAATTTTGTAGATTAACCAATAATGAAAGCAAAAATATCGTAATACTTTACAATTTTATAATAATAAAATAAGGTGTATCGTATGCGTAAATAAGCTCCAATGGCGCAACTTTCGTCATGACAATATAGTGCCCTCTCTTGAGAGCTTGAGACCTTGGAGACCTTGAGGCTTTCAACCACCGTGCCAAGTCCTGTGTGCTGCAGTGGCTGGGCCGAGTGTAGTGTAGTGACCCGAGAAGAAGAAGAAGAAGTGCCCTCTCTACAACCGCGCGCATGTTTTTTTGTAAAGTTTGTTTCGTATTTTTATGCAACTAACAATATTTTCCAGTATGCGGCGTCGATAATGCAATTTCACTAATAGTGAAAAACTAGAATTTTGTAGATTAACCAATAATGAAAGGAAAAATATCGTAATACTTTATAATTATGATAATAAAATAAGGTGTATCGTATGCGTAAATGAGCTCCAATGGCGCAACTTTCGTCATGACAATATAGTGCCATCTCTACAACCGCGCGCATGTTTTTTTTGTAAAGTTTATTTCGTATTTTTATGCAACTAACAATATGAGTATTTTCAGTATATGCGGTGTCGATAATGCAATTTCACTAATAGTGAAGAACTAGAATTTTGTAGATTAACCAATAATGAACGCAAAAATATCGTAATACTTTATAATTTTATGATAATAAAATAAGGTGTATCATATGCGTAAATGAGCTCCAATGGCGCAACTTTCGTCATGACAATATAGTGCCCTCTCTACAACCGCGCGCATGTTTTTTTGTAAAGTTTATTTTGTATTTTATCCAACTTTCGTCAACTTTCATCCGTTCTACTTCTCTTGCCCCACGTGACTTCGTTCAACATCCCTTGCCCCACGTGACTTCATCCTACTTCCCTTGCCCAACGTGCCTTCGTCCTTCAGCCCTTGCCCCACGTAAATTAGTTCTACGTATCTTGACTGTGCATCCCTATGTGCACTATGTCACAGAAAATCGATGTCATATTGCATTCTTTACAGGGTTATTCAATTCAAAGGAACATGAAACGTGCTTTTTACAGTTACGTGAAGCGTAGTGACAATATATACCGCGCTATTATGTCATTTATAGCTTTCTAATTCTGCATGATAAAATGATTTGTTAATTATGTCGGCAGGTGTACGTGAGATTCAACAGGTGTTTCTGGCATGCCGTTGATGGGTGCGCACGTTTCATTAAATGGCTCATGACAACATACACCGTATCCCACCCGAATCGTAAATTTGCGGGTGTGCATGAACATTTAGTAGTAACAAATCTTTGCACTCCTGACACCGGTGGTGCGCAAAAGCATGTAACTTTTGGGATAGCCGTCTATTTCCTAGGTTACAATGACCTTCACACCTGGACTGACATTTTCACACCACGTGCCTTCGAAGACCAAATAAAATTTAGTAGGGGGAAATTCCGGGGAATGGACCTCTGAACCGTTTAATACCGAACGCTGTTGTAGTCACAATGTAGCGCCGACCGTGACGTCACATCAGGAATGAGGAGAGCAGGCAGGCGAATTACCAGGAAGAACCAACGAGAAGTAATAAACCGCGAAAATTGAGAATTTGGGGGCTTTATTATATCCTTATTTGGGTCGCTGGAACGTAACGGGGCAGAAGAATCCTGCACTCAACGCGTCGTGCCAAGAGAGACCCTGACGAAAAGGCGCAGTCGCCTTTAATACCGTGGTCAGCTAGCCTCGTCCGACGCACGGAAGAACCGCTTAAAACAATGAGGTCCTGCTTCGTGTTACCGTGTGCCAGGGACCGAATCCCAGTTGTGACTCCGTTCGGTACTATGCATGTGTCACGACAGTCGTGTGTGTGTGTGTGCGGAATATGCTCGCTCGCCCACACGCATCCTGTGTATTTACGATTCGTACGAGCCGTGTACTTCAATACCGACTCTCGTGTGCGCACATGAATACATTTCCCTTGCAGCTCGACGACTCCAGCGTGGGCGTCGTCCGCGTGACCGATTGCTGGCACGTGCAACGTTTCATACGTGTTCTAGCTAGCTAGCTATCACTCTGGGGCGTGCTCTTGCTCTTACTGTGACTGTGTGTGTCTGTGTGCGTGTACGTGTGTGTGTGTGCGTGCGGTTCGTGTGCGTGCGTGTGTGCGTGTGTGTGCGCGTATGTGCTTGTGCCACCGTGCGTACGTGCGTGGGCGGGTGTGTTTTCTACCACGTTCTGTCCGCTCTCCCCATACGTGTTATATCTATCTCATGCGTGTTCTTCTCTCTATCTCTCTCTCTCCTGTGTATCAGGTGCTGTGTGTCGGCCCTACTGGGACGGGTAAGACGCTGACAATAGCCGACAAGCTGGTGAGAGGAATGCCGAGGGAATGCGTCTCGGATTTCATCACGTTTTCAGCGCGGACGAGTGCCAATCAGACGCAGGACCTAATTGATAGCAGATTGGATAAAAGGTATTCCCTATCGGCGAGTAAACAAGACGAAGCCAATGCATCCGAAAATCTCATGCATGCGTAAAATATCCTCGCTCCCAGCCTCCTCCGTCGGCAGCTGTCCGCCGCATTCCCGGTGGCGCATGATGATGAAACTCGGGAATTTGTCGTCGAATGCAACGTTCCGCATCGTGATTGTTCGTTGGCGTCTTCGATGATATAATACGCTGGAGGAAAATTCTTTTCACGCAACCGTAGCGACACGTGAGCGTAAAAGTACAAAGAGAGAGAGAGAGAGAGAGAGAGAGAGAGAGAGAGAGAGAGAGAGAGAGAGAGAGAGAGAGAGAGAGAGAGAGAGAGAGAGAGAGAGAGATTCCTTCCACTCTCTCCCTCTTTCTCTGTAATTTTTTCTCGGGTTGTCAGCTGAAGTAGTCGCTTTTTGCGCATTCGTCGGGACATGCATATATGTTGTGCGCTCGTTGTTTTCGCTACACTTATAATTGCTTACATCATGATTCTTCTTAATACGCTCTTGATGATATCCAAATCAAATTTAGTCTTTTTGTTACATCTCGTGATTACTGAGTGAAAGGCGTAATGCGCGTGCTCGTACACGGCCGGTGTGTCTACGAGAGGATATGATTGCTTCACATGATCAGCATTATTTCTAGTCAGATTCAAGGTTTTTCGTGCGAGATATGAATATGCAATTTAATATCAGCGAGGAATATCTTTAAACAACAATATGAGTATTTCCAGTATGTGGCGTCGATAATGCAATTTCACTAATAGTGAAAAACTATAATTTTGTAGATTAACCAATAATGAAAGCAAAAATATCGTAATACTTTACAATTTTATAATAATAAAATAAGGTGTATCGTATGCGTAAATAAGCTCCAATGGCGCAACTTTCGTCATGACAATATAGTGCCATCTCTACAACCGCGCGCATGTTTTTTTTGTAAAGTTTATTTCGTATTTTTATGCAACTAACAATATGAGTATTTTCAGTATATGCGGTGTCGATAATGCAATTTCACTAATAGTGAAGAACTAGAATTTTGTAGATTAACCAATAATGAAAGCAAAAATATCGTAATACTTTACAATTTTATAATAATAAAATAAGATGTGTATCGTATGCGTAAATAAACTCCAATGGCGCAACTTTCGTCATGACAATATAGTGCCCTCTCTTGAGAGCTTGAGACCTTGGAGACCTTGAGGCTTTCAACCACCGTGCCAAGTCCTGTGTGCTGCAGTGGCTGGGCCGAGTGTAGTGTAGTGACCCGAGAAGAAGAAGAAGAAGTGCCCTCTCTACAACCGCGCGCATGTTTTTTTGTAAAGTTTGTTTCGTATTTTTATGCAACTAACAATATTTTCCAGTATGCGGCGTCGATAATGCAATTTCACTAATAGTGAAAAACTAGAATTTTGTAGATTAACCAATAATGAAAGCAAAAATATCGTAATACTTTACAATTTTATAATAATAAAATAAGATGTGTATCGTATGCGTAAATAAGCTCCAATGGCGCAACTTTCGTCATGACAATATAGTGCCCTCTCTTGAGAGCTTGAGACCTTGGAGACCTTGAGGCTTTCAACCACCGTGCCAAGTCCTGTGTGCTGCAGTGGCTGGGCCGAGTGTAGTGTAGTGACTCGAGAAGAAGAAGAAGAAGAAGAAGTGCCCTCTCTACAACCGCACGCATGTTTTTTTGTAAAGTTTATTTCGTATTTTTATGCAACTAACAATATTTTCCAGTATGCGGCGTCGATAATGCAATTTCACTAATAGTGAAAAACTAGAATTTTGTAGATTAACCAATAATGAAAGCAAAAATATCGTAATACTTTACAATTTTATAATAATAAAATAAGATGTGTATCGTATGCGTAAATAAGCTCCAATGGCGCAACTTTCGTCATGACAATATAGTGCCCTCTCTTGAGAGCTTGAGACCTTGGAGACCTTGAGGCTTTCAACCACCGTGCCAAGTCCTGTGTGCTGCAGTGGCTGGGCCGAGTGTAGTGTAGTGACCCGAGAAGAAGAAGAAGAAGAAGAAG